GAGATAATGTTTTAATCTTCCGTCGATGGAGGAGGCCCGCGATGATAAATAGAATACATGTGTGCAAAGAATACCTGTTGAGATAAACTCATTTGCTCCATTCGTTGATCAAGCAAATTTACGCTAGTAGTAAGAGAATCAATCCGGCTTTGTAGGATGTTGAAATGATCTTCGATCATGTATCAGTCGGGGGTCGGTGCTACTTGTGGAGTAGGACCCCTATGTTGTGCTCGAGGAGAATCATCACCTTCATCACCACCATGACCACCCATTTCTTCTTCCACATCTTTTAAAGTGAATGGCCAAGTAGTAGGCCCCGAGTTATTGTCGAAGCCTTGAGTATGACACACCCATTTCCCATTGTCTTTAACGATTTTCATGCTTTTAAGGGTGTTGAGATTAATGACATCTGTGTATTTGGGCTTAAGAAAAGGTACATCATCTAATGGCACATTGAAATGTTGAAATATTCTTGTTAGAAGCATGTCATAAGGTAAGCCTAGGGCTCTAGGAGACTTGTGGATCTATCGAATGTGCTTCAAAAAGAGATAGGGAAAGTCCAATTGACGACCAACAAGAAATGAGTTAAGAAATGAGTTAAGAATGAACAAGTCAAGGTGATGAACCTCTTCAAAATGTCCACTCCAAGGGACTATAATATGAGCAATAGCACGATGAAGAATTTTGCATGGTATAGTAAGGTGATGTAGGTTTAAAGTCATTGTGGTGAATAGTGGTCGATCGGTGACTCAACAACAAGCTTCGAGTTCATCATGGCCATCAAACCTAAAGGGATAATGATGAATATAAGCAAGGTTTTCACATACCTCTAACCCAAGGATTTCTCTAATGATATTCCTATCGAGTGTAATTCGTTTCTCTTTAATAGTGCAAGTGACATGGAGTGAGTAAAATGAGAGATCTCGGAAAAATTCACGAATTAAATTAGGATAGATATTTTCCGAGAGAGTGACCACATTCGTCCACCCAATATTCTCAAAATAATCCTCTATCCTAAGTGAAGGAGATTTGGTAGAGAATTAAAAAAAAT